GGACTATAAAAGTAGACCATGTCTAAATAAATAAATAGAAATTTTATAATCATATCTTTAGTAATATTATTGCGAAGTCATTCAATGGTTGTCGACACGTGCCACACTCAATTGATTGTCACCAGTGTGTAATCGATTGAAATTCGCGTTCATTAAAGCAGGACCAGTTTTTTACGCACGTGCATACATTATTTCAGCATGTTCTAGGTTTTTTGTTTAATGGGTCTTGTATTGTCTATAAAAAATAAAAATTTGATGTTTTTTTAAGCATCGGAAAAGGTAATTTTTTCAGCATTTGTTTGATCTGTTTTCCAAAAAGTTCCATATTAGAAAAACAATTAAATATAATTAATCGTTTTTTTTTTAAATTTTAACGAATTTTTAAAAGAAATTCTTAAAATGAAATAAAATACAAATAGAAGGTAAAAAATAATTCAACAATAACTTATCAATTAATTATTGAGAATTAACTCCCCTCTGATTTATATCATTTTTTGGCAAATATTTTATAAAACGTAACACTAGATTATTCTTTTTAGTTCTCATTTTCAAAAATGCAATTTTTGTAAAATAAATGTATAAACACAAATTTCATACATTATTTTATTGTCTGCAAAAAGTTTGCAGTTCGAACGTTAAATTGATTACGTCATGTTTAATGTTCAAATCATGTGGTAAGACTGAAACCCTGTCAGTGAGTTTTCCCTTATCGCCATCGAAAGCAATGACGGTCTGTAACCAACGCCTCAACGATTGACAGAAAGGTCAACTTATTCTATTGGGCATGTTTAGAGTTCTGATTTGTATCTTTTGATTTGGGCTCTTTCTCACTCATTACAGTGATTTTTGGCAATTATGGGGATTAATTACATAATAGTTATTGAAAAACTGGTCATTATCGTGATATTTGGACTGCCCACAGGACAGTGGGTGGTATTGACTAAGAAAGCGATAATGACTGAGCCGTAGGCGAGGTCATTATCGCTGTCGCAGTTAATACCACTGTCCTACGGGCAGTCCATGTATCACGATAATGACCAGGTCTTCAATAACTATAATGTATATTTCATTGGGGAACCATGTTTTTAAAAATTCTCATAAATTCAAATTGTTCAAAGCAAACTCGAGTTATTGTACGATTTCTATATGAAAGAGTGACAACCAGTCATAGTGATAACTATAAGTCACTGCCATTCATTTAAGTGAAATTTTTCAGTATATGAATACATAATAAAGTTATAATTTTATAATTAACGAATCGTGATTGCGTTTTATTAAAGGGACATCACTCTAAACAGAGAAACCACGCCCCACTGGTCATTAACATGTAAAAATTACGACCGGTTTTCTGGTCCGTTTTTTTTCTTTTAAAGACCGATGGAATTTATTACTGAAGAATAAAGAATGTCATGTGGCCCTTTGTTATCCAATAAGAGAAGCTAATTCTTAACCGATATGAAATCAACTTTATTAAGGCTAAACATGTTTTTCTGCAGTCGATTATTTTGGCATTTCAGTATATGGGAAACATTTTTGCCGCGAATCAGTCTATCATGGCATTCGATGAATTCATAAGCAGTTGCAGTAAGCATGAATAGTAGTTATATGAGGATCAATCCTTATTTGATTAAGCAAAATTCACCAAAATGTGTGTCGCGTTTTTAAAGTCCGTCAGTAAATATTTTGAGTAAAGCATTTTTGTTAGGAAAACATAATATCATAGGGACTTATTGACTAGCTCCATGAAACCAAGAAATATATATCATTTGGATGGTTCAAATCTATTTAATCTCAATTCAAAAATGTGTATACAAAAAATAAGGAGATGTGGTATGACTGCCGACGAGACAACTATCTACTAGAGTTCAAATGACAATGATCAATCAATTAAAGGTCACCGCACGGCCTTCAACAACAAGAAAAAACCCATATCGTAGAGTCCGCTATAATAGGTCCCGACATTAAAAATGTGAAACAATCCAAACCAGAAATCTAACGGCCTAATTTATACAATACAATTTACGAAAAACAAATATGACTGACACTAACCACCGACAACCAAACAAATTAATTTTGAATTTCTGTCCTGACAATTTTATTACTTTCAAATATAAGGACCTCGGCGTTCACTTTCGGTTAGCTATGTCCTTGGATTTAAACTTTATCATATAATATCTAAAAGGTCACAGAATGGATGTTAGATGCCTCTTTTTCAAAAGCCTGTATGTATGCTAGGTAAAACAAATCTCTTCATACTAGTACACAATAATCTCCGTATTCAATTCATTAAGGAGATTTGTGCATTTTTCGGACCGAAAGATTAAGGAAAACTTTGGCAACAACCTGCTATCCAATGTATTCTTAAATCAATCGATGTGAAAGTAAAAATTGAATCCCTATGCGTAAATTGTTTTTAGATCAGTGATGGCGGCCAGAGTAATTTTTGCCTTAATCTGTTATACATTATGGGGAAATTTTACCAAAACTGACATTACAACGCAAATCATACATAATAGGTATCAAAGGTACCAGGATTTAGGGTCACGACTGAATTAGAAATGCCAAAAAAGGTATTGAATTTGTTTTAATATTTATATCACAGCTGTTTATATTCGAAATTTGTCGAATTTGGAACTAATATACAAAAAAAACTATTAAAATTTAACGGCCAATTATCATGGACATAGTATTACTCCTTTTCTCCTTGACAACATCTATGTACATTTCGGCAATACAGCTTATCGAGCTGTTATATGTTTTCCTATGGGCACCAATTTCGCTCCTTTAATAACAGACGTTAACTCAGTTAAGACCCGTCTAGATTCACACGAGAAACTCTACAAAAAGGTTACGACAAAAGGGACGATTTTGCGTTCTCTATTGCACATTCAATCTTTAAGCGGTGTATCGCTTATTCTTACAGGTATATTGAGCTCTTGCACAACTGCTCAAGGTTACAGAGAGGGTTTGAAGCACATAAACATGTTTAACCCCGCTGCATTCTATATGTGACCATTCCAAGCCTGCCAGGAGCCTGCTATTGAGTGTTTGTTGCTGTTTATCATATTTGTTTTTTTTCGTGTATTGTTTTGTACAGTTCCCGTGATTTTGCACCACTGTCCCATGAAAGGGGAGGGTTGGGAGCCCGCTTGCATGTTTAACCGCAACACATCATGTTGTACGTGTCCCAAGTCTGAAGCCGCTAATTTAGTGGTTGTCGTTTCTTGCTGTATATCATGTTTGATTTTCGTTTATTGTTTTGAAACACCCAAGGGTGACTGCGGAATAGAAATATGGTCACTCTAGATCTTGGTCTTCTTCCACGGTCAGTATAACCCTTGACATAGTATGGCGTCCGTTTGACTTTGCCGGATGTACAAAAACGATGCCGCGTCTGGTCAGAATGGGGACGTTAAATCTGATGCCTCGTGTAAGAACCTCTGCAACAACTCTTTTAGGTGGCCTGTTGTAAGGCAAAATTTCTGTTCCTATTCAACACCCCCGACTTTTCCAGTTGCAGTACAAATTTAGCCGACCTACATCCGGACAAACCCCCATTACATGACCCACCTATTGTATTTGTTGGTAATTTGTTATCGTCCTGAACAAGCATGAAATATTGCAACAGGACGTTAAGTAACCAACAATCATCTATCATATTGTTTAGTACAGACATCAGGCCGTGATTTTTTTCTTTTTAATGTTTTTAAATGTATCATGTCAGGGTTTTTGAACGCTTGCTATGCAGAATTAGTTACTCTCATTTTGGAAGGCTATACGTGCTTACTTCCAATTTATTTGGTATCTGATGGCGAGTTGTCTCAATGATAGTCATCCATGTTATACTACATCTTCCTATTTTATATGAATCTTTTTGATATAATTGATCGACATTGATTTAAAACTCGTCCAATATATATTTGATATAAATCTGTGATATAAATGTCATACAAATATGGCTAGCGTTGTATGTTGGGGGGCGTTTACAAGACCGGACACACGCACGGACAGATGGTATTTCCTTGTTTCCCACATGGTAGAAATAACATATCATTAATGAATATCAATCAGTTGATCATGATATTTATATAAATTTCATATTTTTTCATTTATTTTCTGCTATGTTATTGAACATTCATCTAAATCTTATGAATTGTATACACAGTATTTATGTAATTAAAATGTTTGCAATGTTTTTGTTTTTCAACAATGTTTATGTTTTTTTTATAATACAGCCTGTGGGAACATTGGTTATTTTACCATGTTTAATGACTGTGTTATTAACCTATAATAAAGTATTGCTTTGTTAAAGTTATTGTTGGTGGATTGGACAAGGTTTTACTGTTCACAGAACCTCTGCCATTCTAATATATCATCCCTAAGTTTTGTTATAATTATTGCTAGTGGATCGGACAAGATTTTACTGTTCACAGAACCTCCGTTATTCTAATATATCATCCCTAAGTTTTGTTATAGTTATTCTTGGTGGATTGGACAAGGTTTTACTGTTCACAGAACCTCCGCCATTCTAATATATCATCCCTAAGTTTTTTTATAGTTATTGTTGGTGGATTGGACAAGGTTTTACTGTTCTCCGAACCTCCGCCATTCTAATATATCATCCCTAAGTTTTGTTATAGTTATTGTTTGTGGATTGGACAAGGTTTTACTGTTTACAGAACCACCGCCATTCTAATATATCATCCCTAAGTTTTGTTATAGTTATTGTTGGTGGATTGGACAAGGTTTTACTGTTCACAGAACCTCCACCATTCTAGTATGACTTCTTTTTTTGATGGGAACACAATTTTTTCTTTAGCATGAAGTCGTGCAAAAATGTGCTATCGCTTTTTATTTTAATAGAATAAAGTAATGAGTAGTCGTGAATTCTGCACAACATGTATAAAACATTCTAGTTAATCCATGAGATCAATGTAATGTAAAAGACTATTTAAGTTATTCACTATTTATAGCACAAAGTACATAATGACAAATGTTACCTCAGAAGTCTTATCCATGGGATCCATTCCTTTTTCTTCTATCAACCATTTGGTTACATTTAACCGTCCCCTGTAAGCTGCTAAATGTAATGATGTTTCTCCTTTCTATAATGATAATTAAATTATTATGTTAGTGTTTGATGGTAGATTAATGAATCAGTGTTTGTGTGCAGTGTATGATAAGTGTCTTTCCTTTTCGTAGTATTCATAACTTCTGCAAAACATCTAACAAGTTTTAATAAAAACATGTATAGACGATTGTATATATATATTCTACATAAACAACTTAGAAACAACATTCTATAACATCCTAAATGTTTGAATGAAATATAATACATATTCTTCATGTGTATATCAAATGATTCAGTGTCATACGAGAACTAACATGATAATTCATTCTATATAGTTTTAAAAATCATTCATTTAGTTGTAAGTTAGATGTGTCTGATAACAAACAAAACAATTCGTCATATAATACTTACAAATATTTCTTGTCCATTTTGCCTATCTTTTAAGAACATATGTTGCTGATTAAGTATGTTGATCAATGTTTACAAAAGAACTTGTTTTTCAAAAATACATATGTAAACCTTTTTCTTCTTCAAAACAATGAAACAATTAAAAGTTAAATGAGACCAAATTAATATAATTCTGACAAGTACAATGTATTAACTATTTTGAAAAGATATTTATTTCAGGTTAGATCTGTCTAAATATTATTTTCTGACTATAAATGTAATCGCAAACTAATCCTCATGAAAATGTCATAACCAATGTATCAATCTTTACATAAGTTGGTATAAAACAAATGACTGCATTTGGCTCATTATTTGCTAACTGATTATTGCTCAATATCAGGTGGTTAGGTGTTACATCACTGAGGATGTCAATATGAGGTGGTTAACTTTACATCATTGAGGATGTCAATATGAGGTGATTAACGTTACATTACTGAGGATGTCAACATGAGGTGGTTAACGTTACATTACTGAGGATGTCAATATGAGGTGGTTGGCGTTACATCACTGAGGATGTCCATATGAGGTGGTTAGCGTTACATTACTGAGGATGTCAATAAATATATATATACAGACGGTAAACCTGGCTGATTACTATTACTTGCATTATCATTATAGATAGGAGAAACAGCATTACATTTTTATATATTCTAAGTAGGCTAGAATAAATCAGGAGTTGGATTGTAAACAATCATCATTTTCATTGATTTAGGTCAATATAACATTATTGAAGTAGCAAAAACTTTTGAAAAATAGTTTGAAAAAAAAAAAATTGAAAAATATAGTAATGTTAAATTGGCATTTTTGTAAGTGCACAATTCCAACATAAATATCCGTGATCACATCGTCATAATTCGGGAACTTGTATACTAAACAAAATAGATGGATTGATTGATGGATGGATGTTTAACGTTCATTGGCAGATTTGATGAATCATCAGGACGAGAAAATGTTAATGTGATATGAATACAAGCCCTGCTTCATATTAGACCGACAGTCTCGACCAGATTATTAACGTGCAGTTTTACGATGTCATCCTATTTGGAAACACATTATTCTAATTTGAATTTAACCAGTCTTTGCTCTTACTCATAAGTGTCACGTGATTGGTGGAGAAACACCAAACACAAATTTTCAAATCTTTGGTTCGAATGGCCAGGGATAGAAACCAAGACCTTCATCCCATACTCGAGGCGAGCAGGCTATTACACGATAAAGAATAAACAACACATAAAAGAGGCAAACATGGTTTAATTCACAAATCCGAGTAAGGAACTCCCCATACAACCCACCCCCTCGCCGGACACGAATCTTAATCCTTTTAAAACTTGACCTATTTGTTTCCACTTTACCTTTTTGCTTGTTGCTTTATGTACACGTACAATTATATGAAATTATGATTCTAAAGGGAATTTGTAATATCAACTTTTCTATCATGAGTAATTTGGTTTTTTTTTCACTATCCTTTTCAGGTATCGGCAAATGATGCTTTTTTAACAATTCTATAACTCAAGGATTTATATTGAACTGCAATACATCATTGTCTTCTTACTCACGGGATTGACAGTACATTCCAAATAATACGGAAATTAAAAAATATCCATTTTAGAATAGGCTTTTTATAAAATGATAGCTGTTTATGTAAAAGATAAGGTTAAGCATGTTAAGGGTATAGGTCAGTTTAGCAACAAACAAATATTAAAACAAAAAACAAATCTAGAGGGCAACAATAGACAGAGGCCTTTACAACATGTCAATGTCTAACTCTATCCGAGACTATACAACTTGTGAATATATTTATAATGTATTATCAAAGATCTGCCACCGTCAACACATGTCACTTATGGCAAGCCCATCAAATTCAATGACAAAGTTCTAGAATTGAGACAAGCACATGAACATATCTTTTTATATAGCACACCCCTTTTTACATCTAATCAATAGATTGATTAATAGAATGATTGATTGTTGGATGCATAAAGTCCGGTGGCAAACATTTCATGCATGATCAGGACGAGAACAAATTACCAATACATACAATAGATAGGTCCTGTAATAAGATATAAAATAACATGTTGTGGAATAATTGCCAATGTGACAACTCTCCTCCAGAGACCAAATGACATAAAAGTTTACAACTATAGACCATCCTGGATGAAGGTCGGGAAAATTTGGACTGCCATTGGAAAAAAGTGAAATAACAAAATAGCAGATTACAAAACACACAAGTACGAACAAATGAATTATAAATAATACCTTTTTCAAGAATTTAAATTCTCCTCCAACTTTTTCTAGTAAGAATATTTAACGATGGTATAAAAAATACTGCTTTTCACGTTTTGATTATACATGAAGTGAAACATTTGACACCTTTAAAAACAAGCTTTAAAATGGATTAAAGACTCAATATGCCGGTTTGAGTAGAATTTTTCTTAAACTGCAATAGAGAATGGATAATGATATATAGTACTGTAATTATTTTTACTGTAATCCAAAGTCCCCTTTTTCAATAACACACCGGAAGATTTCTTTTTTTAAACTCAACGTTGCACTTTTTTTTCTATTTTTTTAAGTTACAGATAACCATTAACAAGAATGCATAACCGTGTTCATCTATTTCTTGTAAATGTATTAAAGCAACTCAAATGCACCATGTGATCTTAAACAATGAGCAAACGCCATACCATCCTGTAAGCTTTAAAAGGCCCCGACAATACAAAATATTAAAGAAGAAAACCAAGAGACGGATTTATGCTAAACAATAAACGAAAACATAAATATGTGGCAGACAGCAAATAACAAGCTCCTGACTTGAAAAATCCTCTGGCACTGTAGAGCAGATTTGTACGCGCTACCAGCCTCAATACCCCCCCTTTTTTTTAAGAAACAAACCCAACAAAAACATATCGAAAAAACGCAGTTGTATAACAGCACTTGTTTGTGTTGCTCAACAATCTTTAGTTTTCTATGTTGTGTTATGTAAACTATTCTTTGTCTGTTTTTCGTTTTATTTTGCCATGACATTGTCAGTTTGTTTTCGACTTATGAGTTTGAATTTCTCTCTTCTTTTTCAAAAGAACAAAGTTGTTTTTGTCTCATGTAATCATATAAAAGGTTTGTAAGAATGATATTTCTTTCTTCTGTGTAAATGGTATAAGAAAGGACTAAAGAGAAGCTCACACTCCAAACAAATATGAAAATTCAGACAAAAGTCATGCAATAAATACAACCTCGAAATTATAGAATCCTAGTGGAGCTGTCATTGATTGATTTACAGATTGACTAATTGATTGATTTACAGATTGACTAATTGATTGATTTACAGATTGACTAATTGATTGATTTACAGATTGACTAATTGATTGATTATAATGAGGGGTTAAATATGTAATACTAATAGTTTTCATAAATATGTTACCACCAACGAAAGTCGAATGAAAATTTATCATTCCCGAATTTTCGTTTGTATTAGACGTGTTTAGATACTACGCTGATGTTAAATAACAAAATCGATACAAGATTTAAGTGTGGATTTTCTCAGAATTCAGGTGCATTGAAAGGTATCAAGGCGTAGCATAGTATAATTTTATGGCAAATTACTAAGCAGGCCTTGCAAAAGGTGCAAATAAATATGCCGTTTTCAAAATATCCTCCTGACCCAAAGATAACAAAATAAACCTCTACTGATGAAACTTAACGCCACTTTCAACAATATTTAAGTAATATCGGGGTCTAGTTTTATTGGTGGAGGAAACTGTGATACCATGAAAAAAAGCAGCAATCCCTCACCGAAGCGTAAATTTAACACTTTGCCAGAATAGTGCCCGAATGTGGTAATCTTTTAAAACTTAATTTCGATAATAACAGACTTCCCGGTGTCCAAGCACTCCTTTTGTGTTGGGATGGGATTGTCTTTGTGAATAATACTGTTGTAAATATGTTAGTGACACATTTCTGTCAATTCAGATAGGGAGTGTATACGGATTTCACTGTACCCTCGCAGTTCTCGTAAGATGCTAAAAAAAACGGAATACGGAATAATGTACCAGTATATGCGTACATACATACAGCCAGCCAGCCAGACAGACAGACAGACAGACAGATTATTTATGTTCCTGTCTAAGTCAGGAGCCTGTAGTTCAGTGGTTATCGTTGGTTTGTGTCTGTCATATTTGTTTTTCGTAAATTATTTTGTTATAAATTAGGCCGTTAGTTTTCTAAATTAAATTGTTTCATATTTTTCATGTCGGGGCCTTTTACAGCCGACCATACGGTATGGGTTTTTCTCATTGTTGAAGGCCGTACGGTTGACTATAATTGCTTACATCCACTTCATTTGAACTTTGGTGGATAGTTGTCTCATTGGCAATTATACAACATCTCCTTATTTTTACATACACACATACATACACACACACACACACAAACACATACACACACACACACATACACACACACACACATACATACATACATACACACACACACACACACACACACACACATACATACATACATACACACACATACATACAGACAGACAGACAGACAGACAGACAGACAGACAGACAGACAGACAGACAGACAGAA